AGAGCTGGGATCGAGTGCCCCCGGGCGGTGGCTGGTGGCCATGGCAGCCGCTGGTCCCTGCAGCTGGAGGTTTGCTTTTTCCTTAGCTCACTTTGTGAAGGGGCGCAGTGCTGACGGGATTAACTCGTGCTAAATCGGCTTGTGGTTTTCTGCTGTTGCGCTAGCGTGCGTTTTATCCATCTGTGGTGTGGGGCGTGTTGTGGGCAGCAAGCGCGGCAGTAAAAATCTGACGCTTCGGGTTCATTTCGGGGTTCTGGCATTTTTAGGTTCTTCAGTTTGCTCTTTAAATGGGGAGAGGAGAGCGCGGACAGTTGTTCAGAAAAGACATTTTAAAATGATGGAATTTGGACTCGCATTTCAGTCTGTTTCCTCTGTACTGCCCCAGTTGCGTAAAAGTAGTTTGTAGCGGCTAGACATTGTCCCAAGAAATATCTGCAATGTAGGAGGTTTTCTGCAGGTCAGAACAGCAGATGGCTACATGATGCCTCCTTTTGAACCTTTCCATCTGAGAATGTACTGGTTTGTAGAGGGCATTGCAGGTCAGGCCTTGAGCTGTAGTGAGGCTGCCAGAAGAGCTCCTTGGACCATTTGCAGTCCAGCTGTTACCGACTTTCTGAAAAACCTTTTTTGGCTTATTTTTTAGATGTGTTTGCCTGGTGAACTCTGCCTTGCTTTGTTCTGCTTGTTTTGGTAACTTCATTCAGACCCCTGGCTTTCAAGCAGAAGTTCCTTTTTAATGAGGAATGAAAGAATTGCAGAGATTTGTAATTGATCGTGGCATTGATGAAGGGCTTAACTAGAATGAATTAAGAGAGTCTTGTGGGAAAGCAGGTGGGACAGCCCCTCACTGGGAATTAGTGGAAGGAAATGCTGTTTTTCCCTTTTCTTTCAGGTCAGGCAGGAACAAAGTCAGGAAGCTGGGAGAGGTCAGCAAAGATCCATGGGTTTTTATTGCTCATAAAAGAGTTTTTCTTGTTTTGTTTTCTTTTCCTTTTTCTGATGCAGACTAAAAGGGTGTCTTTGCAGGTTTGTTTTCTGTCATGCTTTTTCTATGGACTAGATTTAGGCTTAAGTCATTTGCTTTGATCTGATTAGACTCTTATTCAGTTCCTGGTAAGACTTGATGACTTGTGCTACAGTAAAATTGTGATAGCTTTTTAAATGGGAAAGATATCACCTTGGTGATTTCTTTCATTCCGGGAAGCATGTGAAGGTAAAACCACAAGAGTTTTATTTCTTACTCCCTCAAACCTGAAACATTTATTAAAAAAATAGTAGGAAGGGAGAATAGGTCAGGAAAGATGACAATTATTCTTTTTATCTGTCCTAGCCCCACCTGAAATATAATGGAAATAAGCATAACTATTATTTCTAGCCAAAGAGGGTAGTATATCTGCATGTTTACTACCACCACGAGCATTTCCCCTGCATGTGACATATGCACAGGAGTGAAAACATTTAAAATAAATGTGTATAGGTGGATCTGTACTGCAAACTCTAAGCTCCAAAAAAACCAGTGTGGCTTTACATGACTTGCTCACTACAGTTAGTCCTGGCTGGATGACAATACCTGTGCTTGAGCAGGTCTGATTGCCAAGTTGGCTGGTCCCTTCTGGTGCTGTTCTAAGCCCTTGTTGCTGAAAGGAGAAAAGGGAAGTACCCGCTAATTGAAGAACAAGAACTCAGAAAAGATTTTTTTTTTTTTTTTTTCATTTTATAACTAATCCTTCTGTTTTCACTAGATTTGCTGCTACATTCTTCCTGATAGTGTATCAGTAGTACTGGACTGTAATTGGGTAATACCCGATACAATTGTTCTTTCTTTCTCTGAACAGTGGAAATTTGTTTTGATAACGGGACCTTAGCTCACCTGACCTATCTGGGAAGTGTGGCAGTGTGCCAGGTGTTAATATTCATCTTTTCATTTCTGCTTTGATACATATCAAGGATTCTGATCACAAGTCATTACTTCATAAAAATTTCTAATGGTGTGGGAGTAAAAAACCTTTATTAAATGGCATGAACTTCTGTGCCTGAATGTAATAAAATAATAATTTATGATATATTTTTAGGGATAAGAGATTAAAATGCATATTAATTAAATGAATAATGAAAACCTTTATGAGAATCTCTGATACAAGTTGCAAGTAGCTGTTTAATCAAATTCTTTCTATGGAAAAATGCATTTCATTATAACATAATTAGCACATCTATTGTGTTTTTAATACAACTTGTGCTAAAGTGTGTTTGATCTGGAATTTGCTCATGGCAATTAGCAGTGAAGGAATTGAACTTTTTTGCTTTATTCCAGGCTTTGTAAATTATAAGTGCCATATCTGGGGAAAATTGATGTGATTTTTTTTTTTAAAGCACTAGAATAATCTTGGGAATGTATTGGGGTAGTCATTGTTAGTAGCGAAAAGAAATGGTAAGAAACTGTGCTATCTAAAGCTGCAAATTTAGGGGTAATTTTCTGTCACAGGTGTGTACTGTTCTATCATGTCCGATCTAAATCCTGGACTGTGAGAAAGTTGGAGCTGTTTGTGTACTACGGAGTAATCCTGCTTGCATATATCTGTAGCAGCAGATCAGAGAAGATGACGACAGCAGGTGGTGGTGGTGTCATTCTTTTTTCCCATTGAGGTAGCACCGATAGACCACTCACGTAGTGGGCATATGTGTAGTTCCCCCACAGGTGGGTGGTACGTACTCACCCACAGTGTTAGTACTTTCTGTTCTGCAGTGTGTCCTTTACCATTTGAGAGGAGTACTTTTCTAGTAGGAAAAAAGGGCACGATCTCAGTAAACATGGTGGTTCAAAATCACCCTGATGACTGGCTGCTAAAATACCAAACATCTGCTCAGAAACTGAATGCATCCTGTAGCACTGGCAGATGTGAGCCCTCCAAAGTCAGAGGGTTCAACCTTACCAGCTGCTGAAACCAGACTGGACTGTTGGGGCTTTTCTCTTCCTTACCCCAGGAGCTTTACTGACAGCTTTCCAAAGAGTGGGAGAACACTTCTTTTACAGAGAGTTCTTTGGTGAATTCGTGTCTAGTCTGAGTTCATTTAGAGCCTAGGTACCAGTGTTTTTATGGTTGAGTTCACTGTGGTACAAAGCCTGGTATTGCCTTCTGTGTGAAACTCATTAATGCACAGAAAATCCAAACTTGAGATTGGCTTTTATGTAGTAAAAAAAACCAAACAGTACAGGAATATAAAAAGAAACTATCCAGTGCAAACATCTTTATACAGTGGAACTTGATACAGTGTTCCTTAAAATAGCTTTAGAAAATAGGCTTAAAAATAGCGATTACAGGTAATACTATCTGGATGATGCTTACCGAAGTACTTTACTTACTGCACTAAATAATTTCATAACTAACTTTACCAGTTGATAGCCAATACCTTAGTTACTGATGAAAACCTTAAACTGTAAGTATTATTAGTTAGCATTCTTTATAATACACTAACATGTGGAACCTCAGTAGCATACACTGTTGACTGGATTAAGCAAAACAGAAGAGAATGAACACATTAAAAATAAAACCAAGACTGTCATCCCAAAATGTACTTCTTTTACAAAGGATGTGATCCAAAGCTGATCTAAATGATGGACAGAATTCTACTTAGTTTTCCTTTAGTTCATATTTGAAAATTTGAGTGATTACTTTATTGATGATAGTAGGCATTAGTGTCCAGCTAAGTACTGTATTGGACAACTTTTTACAGTAGTGAGGACTGATGTGAGACCATATTATAGTGCATTGCTATTTCCTGCCAAGAAAGTGTTTTGGGGGAAAGGAGTGTAAATTGGAGATGACATGAATAAGTGAAAAGCAAATTTGTGAGGTTCCACTATAATGGTTTAGGAAAAAAAAAAAGATTTAGTGTTATTTGGTTAGCTACCAAATTTAAATAATCAAATCAACTAAACTAATACGTACAGCTCCAGTACAGATTCTGCAAAATTGAGTATCTGTGTGGTAGGGCTCTGTTCCTGTTGAAGGCAATGGGATTCTGCATTGCCAGAAGCCAGAGACAGGCTATTGTCCTAAGAGACCCGCTTTTTACAAAACGTATTTGGCTGGGTAACTTCTGCATGGGAAGTTTCATTCTGTTCATTCTGTGGCTCTTCATCAGGTGAGAAACTGAACACATGCTTACCAGGGACGTGGTAGTTGCAGCTCCAAAACCTTACTTACATTTGCGGTTCTTTTATGCAGACAAATGAGTGGGTGTGTAGCATTCTGGTTTGAAAGTCTACAATATTTTCCTAGGTGGAAAATACCCGTTTTACAGTACCTGCTTAGAAAAAAATCAAAACAGTTTCACAGTAATGAGGCCCTTCATTTGTTTGTCCCTGAAAAAATACAATTGCTTTAATAATGTTGAACAAAAAACCCTATTCAACCTCTTTAGAAATCTAATGAGACCTATGTTGCCATCTAGAGAGATTTACAGTATTGGAGTCTTAACATTCCCCTGATCTCCACATTTCCTGCCCTGCAGGATATGTTCCATTGAGTAACACTGAGATCCTATTTACAGAAAGAAAAAACAATTTTGCTGCTAGCTAGAGCAAATTCTAGCATGCCAGAAAGGTACCTGAAATCATCATCAGGCTGTTAAAAATGACAGATGAAGCCAGATTGTGCATCTAAAAATCCTGTCTAATTTTATCTTTAGTAACTCATATATGTAGTAGAAGACTATAAAGCAAGAATAATTAATAGATTAGAAAGAAGGAAAAATCATGCCCCTTTTTGAAAGTGATGGAATAATTTCTGATATTAAGTGATAGACCATATGTTCCTCCTCTCCTCTGCTGGGTAAGCATAAGCGTGGAATATCAATAAAGATGTTACAAGAGGGCCAGGCAAACCAGCTGGCTGGAGATACAGGAGGTTATTCAAAACATTCCTTCCCAATGCCAGCGAACCTCTTTGTTCCAGCGGATGGTGACCTTGAATGCATGTAGATGAAAACAGTAGAGGAGGAGAGGAATGAAGGAGAAACTGGGGACAAAACCACTTTTTAAGGAGAAGTGTCTGTCTGGATAGGGAGAGGAGTTATGTCCTAGAAGGCTCGAGCAGGTCCTCGAGCAGCAATTTTGGGGAAAGAACTGAATGTTAGCAAGGATAGCAGTGCTGGGGGAAGTCAATATACGTGATCCATGTGTTTCTTTTTAAACCTACTGCTGTCAGGTTTTTTTTCATGTCTGTTTGAAATCATAGTATGGCTTGGATGAAGAGCTGCGAGTTCTTCTTTGGCCATTGGCAGGCTCTTGAAGTCTATCTGTAGTGGGAGGGAGAAAATTCATGGCTAATTTGAACTTAATACACAAAATCTTCATTTGGTTCTGATCCATACAGCTCAGCTAACATTTTAAACCTGGGTCCCCAGTCATTTAGAAAGTCATAATCAATATCTGAGTCTGAGGAGCCTGATTCCAAAGAACTGAGAGATTCTGCAATGGACTCAGCACCTTCGTAGCCATAAATGTGAAGTGTGTCATATGGCAGCAAATCCCTGTCATTGTCGGCTTCATCCTTCTTAACCTCAATCATCATTTCCATTTCTCCAGCACCAGAAGTTATATTTCCAGGAGGCTTTTGGACTTGTGCATATGGAGAGGGAACTGCTTCCGGCTTTATACCATTCTTGCGGACAGAGTTGAGTACAGACACATCATAGCTGGTGGTATCCATTTCACCACCACCTTCTTCATCGTAAGTGACAAGCTGCTCATGAATCTCTGCCACATTCCTCCCAAGACCGCTCAAATCCTTCTTGTGTCTCTTTCTTAGAAGAATTAGCAATGTGATTACTGCAAAGAAAACTTAGATGAGCACATGTAAATAGAGAAGGAAGTAAACCAAATTGCATTTAAGATATGTAACAGAGTCTGAAATGTTTTTTTCCCACAGTGAATTTTTTTAAACAAATATTTATTAATAAAATAGTGTAAAATGCTGTTTAACTGTAGGATTTGTGTGTTCTCAAAGCAGTTCAGTCTGTACAGGAATTGTACAACTGACTCTTGAGCTGGAATCACAAGTACAAATACATAGTGTCAAAAATTCATTGAATCAACTACAGCCTTGAACTGGTAAATCTTTCAATGCCAGGCATCAAATGCTACTTATGTGGTAATTGCAAAGAAGGCCTCTTCTCAAGCAAGAAAAAATGTTGCCCCTTCTCTGATAGATTCCAAATACAGCAAATAGGTACTGGTCTGCTGATCTGTTACAGATTTATTTATGTATATATGTTCGCTGTACTGTTGAAAGGGTTTCCAGACTAGTTCAACCTTTGGCAACAGGAATCCTATTGTTATTGCCCCAGCACAAATTTCCTGTTTTATAGCTGCATGTGAGCCTAGTAACAGTAAATCAAGTATATTATGCATACGTGCAATAACCTTTCCAGTGACTCAGCCTTTCCAGTAGAATGAACAGCTTTGTAGCTGAAACTATGCTAACAGGCCAAATAGAAAGAGCAAGTGACATGAATCAAATAGTTGCAGTATTTCTGACTTTGTGACCATTTTATAGCCACAAAGCTTTTGTAGATCTCAGTTAAGAAAAAACAAAACAAAACAATCCCTACATTTTAAGTCAGAGAACATTACAAAAGTCAAATACTTACCAATGATTGTGAAAATACAGATGAAAATTGCCACCAGTGCTTGTATACTAACTCCAACTTGTTTAGCTCTTTCCTCACAAAAAGTGAAGTTGCCTTTTTCATTACACTTGCAGACACTGATGACAAGTGTATTTGTGCTGCTGAGCTCAGGATCACCGTTGTCTGAGATGATGACAGGCAGGTAGTGGATTTTGGCAAGTTCACGATTAAACTGTCCATATTTGACAGTGATATTAGCTGTGTTATCTGGAAGAAGTAACGACATCTAATTAAGTGATAATCTCTACCAGATTTTCCTTATAGATCATCAGTCAGCTGGTACATCTTCCCCTTAGATAGAGCCAGCCTTCAGAGAACCAAGTGAAACTTGGGTGGCAACAAACATTTTTTTTCAGTAAATTAAGCCTTTAAAAATAAATTGTTACTTAGCACAGCTACACCAATCATAGGTCATTGCTACAGCTTTTCTTCCCTGTGTCCTAGTGTCTCACTTTGGCTAGCTGAGAAAACGCATTGCAGGGATACGCTACCATAGTTCTCAACCAAGGAGAAGTTGCTATCTTCTGTGGCCAGGGAGTATTTGAAGAAACCTCTAGGTGATATTTCATCTTTGTCAGTAGCTGAAATCCTGACGATGACCTACGAAGATGGAAGAGATCATAATTTTCAGTATACATTGCCTCCAGTGATAAAACCGCTTACAGTATTTAAGTTAGAGCTAGGCTCTGCATCCTGTATAACCCTTCAGTAAAGGGCAGGACAAATATATCCTGTGATGCTCCTCTTCAAGTTCTTTCAAGGCAAGTAATTTCCTTGTAGGTCCTCAAAAAGAGCAGTCTTGCCCCTTTACTCACAAGTGGGAAACAGAAGAGGAAGTCTTGTGTAATTAAAGCATAAAAAAAGTCTTATGCTCAAAGACATATGGTTCATTTAAATTCCTAAGATGGCTGTCTTCTAAAGTGTTCAACTTACGTAGAAGTAGGACTCTCATTCATTGAATATCATTGAGACTGCCACTCTTGAATTACATGCTTGTTTTTGAAAACCTCAACCTGGGGTAGATTAGATGTATAAAATATAAAAAAATGTGTATGATTATGTCCTAAAGGTATTTTAAAAAATAAATTAATGGTGAAATAATACCTTGTGTGTTCTAACAGATTCCATTAGAGAGTCCAGTCTGTGACAAAGTCTCTTAATTAAACAGACATTACGTGTATGGGCTAAATACTTGTCTCTGAGGCCAAACATCTAAAACCAGAAATACTAACACTATTTGTGCATGCAGATACTTGCACTCTGATGAATACTACAATAACGTTTTATGCAGCAACGTTTCTCTTAGTATTTTGAAATGGTTTCATTCTCAGTATCATGTATGAACATTTGTGTGATAAAACTGAATTGCTAATTTTTGCTCTGTGATGCTTGACTGCTAATGCACGTACATACTCAAAAGTCTGGAGGGAGAGGAACTGTGCAGCCCATGTGCATAAGCAGAAAGAAGTCAATATTCCAACAGTGTAAAGTCCTGAAGAGAGATTTCTGACCATTGATGTTTTGGAAAGCAGTGAAATGATCGGGTGCTTGGGTATGAAAACTGAGACTAACTTTTATTAAAAGACATCTTTTGCTTGAGCTTGCAAGTAGATAATTCAGGTTTAAGGGAGAAACTCTTCCTCCTGTCTCACCTTTCCTGGTGCAGCATTTTCACACACTCTGGGTTCCTCGGGATAAACAAGTTCTGGAGCATTATCATTTTCATCAGTAACTATTACATGAACTTGGGCATGTGATTCTCTGTCAGAAAGACGGCCTGAAATGACAACAACAGTACAGGTCTCCGAGATGTCTGGAATCTCAGTGCTGTCTAGTTCCACCTTTCCACTGTTTGTGTCCACCTCTGTGCCTCCTGCATGACATGCATGGAGAGGTTCTACCTCCATCATACAATTAAACTTTGCCTTTGACAGATCCAAATATTTTCCTAAAACTCTCCTATTGGGCTAAATTATCAAGGTTCTATGAGGAAGAAAATGGCAATTGCTTCCTTATTCTTCACACTGTGTGGCTAGGGGATCCAGCATCGTTCCCTGGCACTAAAGCAACAGGTACAGAACAGGCCATGTTTATATTATTAAATATCTTTCACCCTCCAGAAAAGGCCGGTCTCCCCCAGACTGACTTGGGACTGGCCTCCGGGCCTGCCCTGTTTCCTGAACCCAAGTGAAGCTATGCGGGAATGCCTGCGCAGCGATGCTCCCCGGGTGGCAGCGTGGGAGGGGGGATTTTGTAACTCTCTGTAGGTGGGTGAAGCTGGCTGGCATGTTTCTGCTCTAACCACAGGCTTACCCTGGTTTCCTAAGCTGCTTCCTCCCCTCACGCCCTTTCTGTTCCTTGTAACAAACTGAATGCATTTTCAGCATAAATAGCTAGGGGCCAAATCTTAAAACTGTATTTGACCTATTTGTAGGTACTCATTTGATTTGGAAGATTATTGTTCAAACCCTGCAAGCATCCCTTTCACCGTAGCTCGGTGGAAACAGACTGTCGGGTCGTGGCTTTCCTTTTTGATAAGCTACAGTCCTGCTGTAAAGTTGTACACTGATTTCTTTCAAATGGAGAATTGGATAGCACTTACCATCTTCAAGGATTTCCTGAGCTGCTACAGTGATGTTGTATGAGGAACTGAATTCTCTGTCCAGGGGCTTGGGAAGTTGAATAATTCCAGTATCGGATACCCTAATATAGTCTCCATTAGGACTAGCTCTTCGTCGAATAAATCTGTATTTTGTTTAAAAACAGATATGTCAATGCAAGAGTGATAATACTGTGTTTCCACTTCAGTTCTTCATAGTGGAAGGTCAGGGAGGTTTTGTGTGACAAATTACATTAATATCTTGACCAGGTGGTCTCAGAATATTTCCCTAAAATTATGCAAGCTGTGAGAGCGAAATATATCTGTTGGAAAAAGTTTCCAGATTACTATCTTTTGCTCTTTCAGAAGTCTATTTTCTTTTCAAAGCACATGCTTGAGAGAGTTATTACAATAAAAAATGTAACAGTAAATTATAACCATGTAAAGATATCCAGGATTATGCATTTTCCTGTAAATGTGCAAATGTTTTACCAATAAGTTTATGTGGTAATTACATGGGTAAATGTAATTTATGTTCATATTTGTTGGTTATCATATATAACCATGGCTGCAGTGCTGGAAAAATAAAAATTTTTTTTTTTGGCATGCAGATTCTGAAAAATAGGGCCAAAGTCTCAGTTCTTTGTCAAATTCTTGGAACCATTAACAAATTCTCTACTTTAAAATAGAATTACTAAAGCTGGTGTTGTATTACCTGATTTTCCGTTTAGCTGCATCAGGGTCGTGTGCCCAAACTGAACCAAGTGTTCTTATTTCTGGATCATTTTCCCTTACTTTAAATTCATATGGTAGTTTAGTGAAGACAGGAGGCTCATCAACATCAGTGACTTCAATGGTGACTGTTGAAATGCTCCTAGAGCCACCGGATTTAAAATAGCGAAGATCAACTGTGGGATCTGTTGCTTCAATGTCAAATCTGTATTCTGCTACTTTTTCGAAGTCCAGGGGCTAAAAAAGAGGCAAACACAGATATTCTTCCTTTGGAGATGTCTAAGTAAACTTTGCATTAGCTATCTATGCAAATTTAAGCTCTGTGCACTAATTCATGTTTGGAAATATTACCAGATTGCATCTTAGCTAGACTCTTGGGAGAGCATTTCCAAACTGAACTTCTCTTTCACAGAGTGGCTTGAGCAACTTCTGGTTTTGAACAGATTCATCCAGTATTCTAAGTTCAGCAAGTATTTCTTCGTTTTAAGTAATTTTGTTTTTATAATTCTGTAACTACCAAAACTTGTTTAGCTCCTTTTTCTCAATGGTTGGGGACCAGATTCCCCTCCTCTTGGCTAGGCTTTCTGTCCTGAAGTAATTCAGGACAGACTTCATAGCTGCGCTGACTGATAGCTGGGGCATTGAGTGATAAACGACATCTGTTTCCTTGTTTTTCCCATTGACTGAGATTATAGGAGGAGTCACACAATGGAAGGAAGGCAGGAGCTAGGTCAGTAAGAAATGCCCAAGCTATCGCTCATTTCAAAGTTTGGGTCCCTTTGCATTGTTGCCTAAGATTATACACAGTAGTTAATTGTAGTGACTCTTGTTTTTCTCTTAGAGTAGACATTGTAAATGGAAGTGATAGTGCTTATCTAGCAGCTGAAATTTTATCTCATATGGCTGCATATTTAAAATTATTACATGTGCATGGCCAAAATAATGTTACAAAACAGTGGGGTGAACTTTGCCCACTGCATTTTAAAAGATGAGCTGATTCCAGTGTGTGTACGTGTGGGGTCTCTTATTGCTCCTCCTCTGGGCAGAAGTTGCAAGCAATGTGTTCCTCAGGTCCTGGAAAGACCAGGAGAAGGGCTACGTTTGGTGAAAGCAAGCTGCTTACACCTAGTGTGACCACAGCTGAAGACTTTACCGCTGGTCTTGGAATACTTGGTACTTTTTTTCCTTAAAGTTTTCTCTTCTTAATGACATTTTTAGACTTAACAGTTAGAGAGAGACGTTTGGAAGTGAAAAACACATTCCTGTCAATCTGAGGATTACAGGAGGTGATTTATAGTCCTCCCTCCTCTTTTTTTTTAACTGTAAGTCAATGAAATCAATGAACTCTTGGCTTGGCAGTGCTCTGTGTAATGCAGGAATGTCCCTTGGTACAAATCCAGTAGGTCTGAGAATTAAAAAACAAAGAGCAAACCATAATAAAGGCTTTGGAGAGTCTGGGCCCTCTTAAAGAATTACAAGGAATTAGTGGGGAAGCTCTGAAAAGACCCTGAGGAAGGTAAAGAGCTGTGGCTCAGATCGGACAATGTGCCAAACTGTAAAGAGCACTTTTAGAAGAGTGGTCAGATGGACTTGTTCACATTTTCTGCTTTGGTTTCACTTGGGCTGCAGAAGGGGAAGATTCTTTGACTTGGTCAGTTGGTTCAACTCAAAATCTCTGACTCTTTGAAGCATCCAAGTACCTGAAGTTTGAGAGCAGCCTGAAGCATGTAACCTGAACATCTGACATAGTCCCCATTGCACCCTGCAGTAATTCTAGATTTTCCCAGGACTGGCAGTTGAAATGGACTAGTAAATCACCTTCTTCTCACACTGCTTAGAGAGCAGGGTTTTCAGGATGAATGTATTTCATGCTGACTTCCACACATTTCCATTTTTTCCTGCCACTGGTCCAAAACTGAATCAAACACTCTTGTTACACATGGGGAAAAAAAAAAATCATCTTTGTTACTGGGAAAAGTACCTTCTTTGGCCTAATGATTCCTTCATTTGTGAACGGATTTGCTACAATTTCAAAGGTGTCCCTGTAATCTCCTCTGACAAAACTGTATTTCGTATTTCTATGTTGTGGTTCATCAACATCTTCTACTTTGACTCTGCCAACTTCTCCTCCTACTGAAATGTTTTCAGGAACTTTAAAGTGAAATGATGCTGTTAAAAAAAAAACACAAAACAAAACCAACAATAAAAAAGACATAAAGAGTGTGTACATGGAAGTTAGAACTTAGTTAAAAATTGTTCTTAGTTTATGGATGTACAGAAAAATATGTCATTGAGAATTCAGCATTATGTATCTCTACAGACAGCACTTTGATGTATTTTTTATAAAAGTATAATTAATTCTCAAAATTGTCAAGATCTTGTACAAAGTGATGAAATTAATACTGATTTTTATTTTCTTCTCTAGGTGTGCGTCAGCCAGGAAATGTAGCTAGGGCTGAAATGCAGAAGACCTTCTGAATATGTAAGATTCTCTTGTCCACTTTTAAGAAAAGTTGAATTGTGATGATCTCTGACATGGATTTGTTACAGTTGTGTCAACCCTTGTTTTCCAAATGATACAGCACTTCCATTATACTTACGGTGTTTGAATACCGGGAAGTTGTCGTTGATGTCTGTTAAAGTAATAATGACTGTAGCTGTGCTTGAATCCCCAGAAGACCCTGGAGCATCTTTTGCTTTAACAATAATTTCATATGTTGATTGATTCTCTCTGTCTAAATCAGCCCTTGTTGTAGAAATCACACCTTTGAAAAAATAACATTGAATATGATTAGATTTTGCAGCATGTCCAACATCTCCTAATTTTGCCAGCAAATTTTTGTCTTATGCCACACTTTCAGCTTCAAGTAGTATTTTTACAGTGGTATTTTTCTAAGGCTAGAAACATTAGAAATCTTTCTACATGATGGAATATTTGGGAGATTTTGTACAATACATTCCTTTAAACTGATCTTTGCTGCTTAGAAGCAGTCTAATGATGTCTAAACTTGGCCACTACAGCATCTAGAGAGTTTGTCTGAGCACCTCTGTCTGAGTTATTTGCTCCAGAGGAGTACAATGGTTGCAAGAGATACTGACATTATTTTTAAAACTGGGTGAAATTTAAACAAGAAAGTTTAGGAAAGCAAATGGCTGTTGATTATTGAATGCTGCTTCAGAATTTATGTATTCCCTTTTCCTGTTTTGTCAAAGGAATGGTAACTATGCTAAACTGAAAACATAAACTTATATTAGCTCCTAGTCAGTCTCTTCATCAGTGGGAAAAAAATGACTTTTTGTTTTCTCGCTTAGTTCACGGCACCTGATATCCTGGCTTTATTAGTTCATTTCCAGATGCAGACAGTGGCATTGTGTGAGTGTGAATGAAAAATCTTTCTAAATTATGGTTAAAATTATATTTTTGAGTTATTATCTGCCTTTTCGAGAATGACAAAGGCTTAAACCTGTGTTTTCTTCAAAGTGTAAGGTAAGGACAAAGTGTAAGGACATGTGCTTATCTGACCTACCAGAGTCATCAACTGTGAAGTATTCGTCTCCTTTAATGACTTGGTAGGTAACCGTAGCATGACCTGTAACTGTAGGGTCATCAGCATCCACAGCTGTCACTTTGGTGACTGAGGTTCCTAGAAAAGGATTTTCGAACATTTATTTAGTATAAATTCTGCTTTTTAACCAGAGACATGAAGGGAAATGAGTGATGGAAGAACATACCTACTGGCGACATTTCTGGGACAGATCCGTTGAATACTTTTTGTACAAACACAGGGACATTGTCATTGATATCATAAACCTTGATAATGAATTTAGATGGGGGTTCCAGAGACTGGTTGTTTCTTCTGTCAATAATGAGAGCTGTCAGCTCATATTCTGCTTTCTTTTCTCTGTCTAGCCTCTCAAACGCATACACGTCACCGCTGGTTTCTTCCACTTTAAAAATGGTGTTGGCATATTCACCTTCAATAATATACTTAGCATTGTTGTTCCTTACACTTGATGTGATCTGGAAGGAAAGTATAATTCAAAGAGATAAAAGCGGGCTTTGGTATCTGGGTGCAACACAGTTTCTACCAGAAGATACACACGATCAGGACTTCTTCAGACTCAGTTTGAAACCAGAATAGCCATCAAGACTTTTGATGTCAGCTGCAGTATTGCTGACCACCACAGCAGCTGCAAGCATGCAGGTTTATAGGATGAAACTTGCATCCAGACTGAAACTTGCTTGCTTATATATCAAGAAACATTTTTTTTTAGATCATATCTCGTATTTCCTAAAGATATAAATTGTTCATGCAGTTAACACATACAAATCATTAACATCATTATGTCTGAAATAACAAGTGCCACCAGGTTCAGTTTGAACTATTCTTGTTTGCAAGTAACCTTCTGAACTTAGCAGAGATTTTGCTTAGATTTCACAGAATTACAGAATCAAATCTATATTCACAGCTACTGACATTATTCAGCGTAAGTGTCTATTACTTAGCATTTAGCAGAATTCCTGCCATAGCTGACAGCTTTCTTATGTTTAGTCACTTGCAGTTTTTTAATAGTCAGTCTTTAGGCTCATGCTATGACAGTAAGATTCAATTTCCACCCCATAGATTTTAAAATTTAAGATTATATGCAGTGCAAGAGGGATGGGGTAAAAGGAATGAACATTAATCAGTTTTAAAATGTGATTTAATCCAATCCCAAATGGTTTTGCACATTATTTAATCTGCAAATAATCTGACGATTCTTCCCTTTCTATACCTTCCCCCATCTATGGACACTGATAGAAGGTTTAAACCACAATTTTCCATGCACTATATCAGCATTCTTATTTCAACAAGCTATTTATCAATAATTGCTGGGTTTGACCAAGAATTTCTAGTCTTTTGTTACTGATGGTATCATAAATTGCAGCTGCTTGGTATTCAAGATTTGATTTATTCTGTAGTTGTCATTTACTGTTGAACATTCTTTCGTTTCTGTTTTCTATTTTGAAATGTGTCATTAAAATTTTCTTCCCTCATTCCACATACTTAATCATGCTTCTGGCTGCTGGGGCTGCTGAAGAACAGTTTACAACTCTGGAGATGTAACGTGAGAAATAACATCACCCTTGTCTCAAAGATAGTGTAGTCTGTGCTTTCTTTCTCAATTTTTATTTACTTATTTAGAGTAAAAGGTATAGACTTCCAAGAATGCCTTCTCTAAAACTGAGGATGAACATACAAAGGAAAGCATCCAAGGTCATGAAAGATAAAATCAAAATGTATCAGCATATTCCTGCAGCTGTCACTCAGTTCTGCCACGCTGCTGCTGTGGCCTTTTTTAAAGGGTTTATCAAGTGTTCAATTCTGCAAATGCAATGCACTGAACACAACCATTGCAAAAGTAATCAGAAGCATTCCACTGTTGAAAGACCACAGAGCACAGTACAAAGTGAATTACTCTCATTTAGGACAGCTCCAGGAATAGAAGCGTTCTCCTCAATCTGCTACTGAATTGGTCTGAAATGAAACAGAGATACCCTGTGTTAGCTGAGAGTACCCTATGGCCTCTTTTCTCTTTCTCTCGTGCTTTCTGCCAGCGGGCAGCACTGATCCAGAAAGGTCTGTTTCACTTTGCCGAGACAGCCTTGACAGATGGTGATTGTTGTACATGGGAGGAAAACGTACAACTGCATTTATCTGAAAAGTGTCAAAGTAGTTCAATTTGAAAGACTAGATTGGAAGAACTTTGTCTGGGTGATATGCAGTTAATCATAGGATTTTATGAGTGCTGCCCTGAAGAAAATGAGTTTACAGGCAGGTCAATGCTCGTTATTATTTTAAAGAATTATTTTCTTTCAGTCTGTGAAACAAATTTTTTGATTGTGTAACAGTATTCCTAAACTTAGCCCTTATGTTTTGTATCCAAGCTGAGAGATGTAAACTGTATGTTTTTTAATGCATATGTTTTTATTAGCTGATCTCCTAGGTTTTTGAAAGAATCTTGAGCTGCCAGAAAAATCCTGACAGACATCAGCCACCAGACTTCCTTCCTAACTGTGCACCTGCATGCAATACAATTGTTTCTGCACTCCGGATGCTTCATACTTGCCATTCTCTAAAATTTATTTGCATTCTTCAAAAGAATTAGAATCCCTTTGACATTATTCTTGATTTACTCTGTGTCCACATTCTTAAGATTTTAACACATTAGTATGTTGGTATTAATTTCCATTTCTTTTTCCTTTTTTTCTCTTCTATTCTGCCTAGACTGCAAACAAGTAATACATTTCAAGATACTCATTTGCTGCCTGCATTTCTAATTATTTGTTGCTAGCAGACTGCTATTTACCTTCCCAACGTGGTGTGGTAATGGTGTATCAATCTCTTCTTTGATATGCATTTGGTTCCATATCCAGTCTCTCTTCAGTCTTTTATGACTGGCATTGTTTGAAGAAAAGTTCTGGTTTGTTTTCTGACTTTCTTTGTCAGCAAATGCTGGAGCCAAGAACAGGGAGAAAAGTAGAATAAGGTGGTTCATCATCTTCTGTAGCCTAGAAAGTAATATAAAATACGAAAACTATATAAGTAACAACAGAATCAGATTAATCAGAGAGAGCACACATAGAAGCGCAATGGACTTTCCTTCTATAGGAAAGTTTGATTACTTTCTGTATTTCTTTTCATCTGCCTTAGCACCAAATTTTGAAATACCAGGCTTCTTCCTTCCACAAAACAGTTTTAACTAGATGACAACTCTAAAAACCAACAAAAATATTTTAATGAAATAAAAAACGTGCAAGTTTTGAAAGCTAGCATAAAAGCCAGCATCCACTTGAGCTACCATAGTTAATATGAAGAGAAGATTCCATAGCAAAGATCACCCATTGTGCATTGTGGAAAGTGTAGTCTGGCTGCAGAGCATAGCACATGGGGAGAATAGCCATGGGAAGCAACACCAAGGCTGAGCCAGATCAAAGTGTATGTTAACTCAACTTGAAATGAAATGTTCCAGCTTGACAAGCCCAAATTCAATGTTTTGACTTGCCCTGACACAAAATATGCTGTAGTCAATATCTTCATATGGAAAATATTGATTTAGAATAAAATCTGGGGTTTTTTTGTGGAAAAAATGATTCATGTGAAATTTTCAATCAATTCCAAGTACAATATAGCAAATTATCTTGCTCAGAGAGCTCATTTATTGATTCAATTCCATGTCTTTTGAAACATTTGAAGGCACATAGAAAGTTCCTTTGTCCCCTATTCTCAGGTTTTACCATCTACACAATGATAATTTGTGAAATTATTCTCAGGTGAAACCATATTTTTGCATCATATGTTAATATTTGCAAACCTTAGGCCTGACTTTCATATCAGATTGAGAAGTTATTTTAATGTAGCAAAGCTGATTAATTTTCTTACTAAATTCCCCCTTCCCAATATAAAGAACTGTCACGGAACTTTAACACTCAAATAATCAGACTTTAAATTACACATAAATTACTTTCCATTAGCTTTTAGGAGCTGTCAGCATGCACATCAAAAATAAAACCGTTAATTGTGATAGAGAAGTTGACATCACACAGGTTGCTAGATGCAAGATTAAATTAATATTTTCAGCAGGAAGGTGCTGAGATGTTTCCAAAATTACTCTTTGGTAACTAGGCAATCAATGTTCTCCTGTGGTGCAGTATCATTGTCAGTAAAAAGATTTTCTTTACCATGAAATTTTGCTTTCCTGTACTTTTCTGTTTTCTACATTGTTGTACATAAGCTGAGGAACATTTCTTCTTCTTTGTGATTGTGTAGGAAATGACTAAATAAGGTGGCGCTGAAGTTGCTTTTTAATAGCTAAGCTGTGTTTTATACAGGTTTTTGGCCTAATACAATCTTTTTTAATTTAGCTTTTTTTTTTAATTCTATGCACTTACTTTGGCTTAGTAATTTTGAAAAATGAGTAAGATTTAGTTGTTTTGTTTTGTTTTATTTGTGTACATGAACATTCTACAACTGGAAACTGGAAGGCATTGATATGATTCTGTTGTGATCGCCTGTCTTTTATTCATAACATTACAAAACATAATAACCAAAGGAAACCAGTTGGTTAACGTCAACCAATACAGACCGCAGTTTTGGAAAAAACAGACTGTATTGTTTACAAAGTCATTTTCTCTTGTTGCTCTGGTACAGTGGACATCTCCTGTACTGCTGTAGCAAAGAGATTAGTTGGGAAAACTGAGGACAATACTGCCCACTTCAGTTGCCATTAATTTCACTGGAAGTGATACATTCACAAATATCCTTGCAGAAAGCATTTTTAACTTAAATAGTCAAATCTCCACTGAAGCATACTGGTCTCAGTGTAAATCTACTTTGTGAAGAGAAATTTTGTGTCTTCCCAGTAATATTTTCCTAGTATTTGCCTCTCTGTTTATTAATGCTCAATTCAGAGCCTGCCGTGCCCTCTGTCAAACTCCTCAGGGTACTTCTCACTGTTGCTGAGAGTGATTACTAGTAACAGCAACTCTGGGACCTTTGGTATCCACACACAGGGGCACTGCTTATCGGAAATTGAAGGCTCAAATTCATAACGAGTGTACGGTTATCTGTATAGGAGCTCTGGGACTGTGGTAATATCGTGATTATTCATGAGGATCCATGCAGCAAATGCGAACTGTCCTTTGAAGGAGGTGGCCTGTACGTGTTTCACAGTTCAGGCCTTGTTTGAAAGCTTGGCCATTAATACAGAAAGCGCTAGACTCAATCTTTTTAAATATATGCACATTTCAGCTGAAACTTAAGCTACCCCTTCCACTCAGCAGGTCCATCTTTGTGTTCTTAGATTTTGAGGTGGCTTCTCTTCCTTTAACACCTCATTAATGAATTCCTTGTTAATACTTGTCCAGTCTCCTTGGTAAGTTCACGGTTCCTTTGTGGAGCAATTTGGTGGAGTTTGGTCTGCCCTCTGGTATGCACTGTAGGTCAAACACAGACTGATACAGAAAAGCCTCTTGCTTTGTCTTTGGCAACTTTCACGATTTCTCATTTTGGGAGAAGTAATACTGCACACTCGAGCACTTTGCAATGCTGTCTTTTCTAGGGACATTTGATGTGCATTGCTCCATAGGACAGTCTGACTCTGAGAAGACTTCCTCTATGATACCATGCAAGTTTTCCATTCAGCAGCTGGAAGTCCATTGCTGTTGAATCCGTAGCTGAATTCATCACAGTATTTAAGAATACTCTTCTTTGGCAGCACATACAAACACTTCAGAAGCAGGACCCTGCCGAGCAGTAACTGGATAAGGGCACTGTCCTGGTGTGAAGGCCATGTTCCATGGATGTTAGCTCTTGACAAGCTGTAATAAATGCTTTCTCTTTTCTGGCCGTGGTAGTTTTCCTTTCCAGCAGATCTCATTTGAAATGCCAGAGGTAGTAGCAGAAGAGAGATATTCCCATGCCTGAGCAGGGGAATGCATTCCCATGGAGTCAGAAGCAAGAGAGTTTCTGACGGATGACAGACAGGTGGATGACATGTAGGGATTGGCGTTTCGTTTCTTTTCATGTCTGCTGCGGCAGCCAGGACTGAGAAAAGGAACCAAGATGCACCATTTCAAGTAATGACCCCTGCGGCCACATGCTTTCGGAGAAGGGGACAGCACAGCATGTGCGGTGACCGATCTGTCCCATGGATGGCTCTCTGTCGCATGCTGCCATGAGGTCCCATCGCTGGTCTACCTTAATGTACAGTCTCCAGTTACCCCTCTGTCTCTAACTGATTAGACCAATAATTCAAACTTCTTTCAATTTAAGCAGGGACCATAAACGTTCCTTAAAGTTAGCAGGGGAATGGTTTATTCAAATAGCTAAGCTTCTTGCTTTGCTCTTAAATTTTCTTTCAGCAAATGATGGGTTTTTCCAACCAACATTATTCATTTTATGTGTTGAATTATTTTAGCAAATAACTCTTGGTCTGCAGGGTACTATAGACAGTTAACTGAGAAATTCTGGTATTCGAACTGATTTATGGGACACATGACTCATATGGTGTAGTTTCTTCTCGCAGATTGGGAGTAATTATTAAAAAAAAGTCAGGTGGAGATACAGACTACTGTACTAATTAAAAGTTTGCATTTTACAAGTTGTTTTGGTAAGTAATCAACTGTAAAGTTGATGAACAGCTAATATAAATAAGGTCTCCATGTAATGAAAACATGTTTGATGAAATATTCTTTTGAACATTTGTGGTTTTTTTTCCCGGTATTTGCCTCTTACCTCATTTACTTCTCACTCTAAAAATGTATATTAATGCTTATGCGAGGTTAGTTTAGTTAGCAAATAAATTTGTTCTATGCTTGAATGTTAAATAGAAGTTAAACCAGGTTTTTGTGTGAGACTTTGGTAAATGAGGAGACAGTTGTAGCTGAAATGATGTATTTTTCTGGTTGATTGGACTAAAATCTTATGCTAATCTTTGAGAATTTTTGTTTTTCAGCATCTAAAAAACAGAAATACTGCTAGAAATAGTGATAAGGGATATCCTAAGAGAGAAATTTGCTTAAAGTGGCTATCATACACCAGAAAATAAATAAATTTTAAAAGGTTTTTGTCTGTATTGTTCAGATAATTTGCATACCTGATTGTCAGAAAAGCTGGAAACAAAATTATTATCGATGATTGAGCTGGAAACTTAATGATTATTTTTGCTTACAGTATCTTGGTTGGAAACTGAACAATGTAAATGTAAATGAAAAATCCCATGCAAAAACGACAGTTTCATCAAAGCAGAAAATATTAACAAAATTACTAATAAATCCATACTAGAGGACATAATCTATTCCGTTCCACAGTACTGGAAATTTTGCTGTTGCTGGTTGTTAATCAAACCTCAGCTGTCATGCCTGCAGCCATGTAAATGTAGGGAATACGAAATATCTGAAATACTGTATTCAATCAATTGGGAGAAATACGGAGCTTGAAGGGGGGCATTTGCTCATCTTAACCTGCCCTTGATGTGTGTGTGGGTGCAGGCCCCGGCCCTGCGGTGTCCTGGGGAGCGGGGTGCTGGCATGGGTGCATGCCCGTGGGGATGCACTGGCTGGGCTAAAAGAGAAAGAAAACTAGGAACACATTCTTCACAAAAGTTTTTTTCAGAAAAGTTGACTTTGGATAGCTTTAGTTTAGTTTAATAAGTATTTTCTGATGGTCTTTCCCCCTCCTGTCTGCTGCACCCTCTCCAGTATTCCTAAGTAGCTCTGTGCAAAAAATTCTTTTGAATTTAGAGTGGATTAAACCCTACAATACAGAGTAGACAACACTTCAAAAATTTTTTTCAGATGCAAAAAATTTACTTTGATACACCATCTAAACAGCTCCGAAATGACTATGCTCAGCGAAGCCATGATAGATATAAAGAGAGCAGAATCTGACCCAGTGTCAAGTAACGACCCTGAACAACCCTGCCATGCAGAATCCATTTTTAACATTAATTTCTGATCTACATGATGTTTAAGACCAAAGGTATATGTGTGAATGCAG